TAATTACGTGAAAGACAATCTCTGCAGTATTCAGGGCTGCCCATCGCTGGAAGAAAAGGACCTGGGATGTCACATTGATGATTGGACTGAAGACCTCAGGATATAGGATAGACATACAGATTTAAAGAAAAATACAGATGGCAGTACGGGTCTTAATTGGGCAGAGGATGCAAGAAAAAAGAGGTGGGGGGGATCGCCAAGATTCGAGTCTCACCTTAATCAGTTAAGGTGGGCAAGTAATGTTAAAATGAACAAAATGTATTTATGAGTTAAAGAAGAACTCTGGGGCAGAAATAATCTTAACCCTTGCAGTGCTCATTTTCATCTAGGGAAAAAAAATAACAAAGGTGTACTCACCTGAACCTCAGAGCCAGCTGGCTTCTAGGCCTATCCTTGCAGCCTCGCTCCCTCTCCGCTCCAGTGATCTAAGGTCCTGTGAGTCATCATGTTCAATACAGTATATTGGACATTCCAACAATGGAGCGGAGGGGAAGAGAGACTGCAGGGACCAGTCTAGCAGCCAGCTGGCTCTGAGGTTCAGGTGAGCATAACTTGTTTAGCACTTGCAGTGCAGGGGTAGCCCCATTGCGAAGGTTAAGATCATTTCTGCCTGGAGTTTTTCTTTAAAGCAAATAGATCTTACAATGATCCAGTGCCATGTTATACGATTTATACCTAGCATGTTAGGTAGACCCACAACTGCTCTGTGCAAAGTTAGTCAAGTCATTAATTCATTTTAAAGACTCATCTGATGTCAGTGTCTCAGTGCACTGCTGCCTTGGCTTTAGGTCATATGACCTGCAACTAAAGCGTTGTGGATCGTGTTTATTACAACTGAGAGTTATGTTTCTGTTCATTTTCACAGCCCTTTTCAAACTTTCTGATACCTGCCCTAATGAGTAAAGCAGAGCAACCTTTAGGTTCATTTTAAAGTGAAAATTCAGTAAAACCATTTTATTTACAGATTACCATATCTACGGTGTACATTACACTATAAGGATCTTATCTCACTCTTTGTCCATATTGTGACCTGTGCAGGTTGGTGACATAAGGTAACATCCAATCTTAGAGCAACAGTATATTATTAAATGTTCCATGTGTAACGCTATTACTGTCACAGGCAAGTGAATAGATACTAAGCTGGCCAGAAAATGCAGACTCAACGAATGGGAAATGGTCAAAAATTAAACAATGGCTGAAATGAAGGCTTTGTCCTCCTTCTGTATTAAAACATCACATCTAAATGTGTAGACAAGTAACCCATTTCCCCTTTCCTACAGAATTGGGACAAATGGAAAGACAAGTGATCACTCTTTTGCTCTGAGAGCCCGGCTAGACAATAGTTTTTATTGAATGCCTTGTAAGTGGCTTTGCTGGCCATTTGAAGTTTTCAAAAGAATCCTCACTGTGGTGGCTGGTCCTGTTCCTTTTCTTCTTCACATCCTTTTGCTGCAAAGCTTGTTTAAGTGTCATTCATGCAGAGGCCAGTCTGAATATATTTTTATTATGATGAGACCTGCCCATTGTGCTTTTCTTTCCTGTGGGAAATTGGTTTGATGAAAAATGGACGGGCTAGCGAATTTGGCACAAATGCTATGTTTCAGGCTTCTTTAGTAAGGCAGTGCAAAGATGAGTGGTGAAGTAAAAAGTTCAGTATCAGTGCCTCTTCCACCATGACTCTAGTAGGCTGAAGTCTATTTTATCACTGCTGTTTACACTACCTTGTTGTATAAGCCTTCATGATTAACTAATTTTCCATGTTTAAACAGGTAAAAAACGAATATTACATGAAATGTTCATATCGACATATCCAGCCTGCAGGTGGAGTTTTAGGTTCCTTTTTTCCAGGCCCAACTTAACTGCTTTTCTGAAAAAGCACGATGTTTACAGAGCTCAAACACCAAAGCACCAATGTACGCAGAGATATGAATCTCCTGCTCACTCCTGTTCAAATAGGGCCACATGGAGTTTCTTTTAATGAAAGAGCCATTATAGTTTCCATGAAATCAGTAGGAATCCATGACATTTATGTCTTTATCTTACATCCAAGAGGATGGTCATAGTTTAATTTGAAATGAATGATGTATTATGATGTGTAGTCCTAAAACATACACTATATTACCAAAAGTATTGGGACGCCTGCCTTTACACGCACATGAACTTTAATGACATCCTAGTCTTAGTCCGTAGGGTTCAATATTGAGTTGGGCCACCCTTTGCAGCTATAACAGCTTCAACTCTTCTGGGAAGGCTGTCCACAAGGTTTAGGAGTGTGTCTATGGGAATGTTTGACCATACTTCTAGAAGCGCATTTGTGAGGTCGGGTACTGATGTTGGACGAGAAGGCCTGGCTCGCAGTCTCCGCTCTAATTCATCCCAATGGTATTCTATCGGGTTGAGGTCAGGACTCTGTGCAGGCCAGTCAAATTCCTCCACCCCAAACTTGCTCATCCATGTCTTTATGGACCTTGCTTTGTGCACTAGTGCACAATCATGTTGGAACAGAAAGGGGCCATCCCCAAACTGTTCCCACAAAGGTGGGAGCATGAAATTGTCCAAAATGTTTCAGTATGCTGATGTCTTAAGAGTTCCCTTCACTGGAACTAAAGGGCCAAACCCAACCCCTGAAAAACAACCCCACACCATAATCCCTCCTCCACCAAACTTTACACTTGGCACAATGCAGTCAGGCAAGCACCGTTCTCCTGGCAACCGCCAAACCCAGACACGTCCATCGGATTGCCAGACAGAGATGACCCCGCTCTGTCATTTGACGTGGCTTACCACTTCGTGGCTGAGTTGCTGTTGTTCCCAGTTGCTTCCATTTAGTTATAATACAACTAACAGTTGACAACAGAATATTTAGTAGCAAAGAATTTCACGGAAGACATGAATCCAATGATTTGGAGGGGTGTCCCAATACTTTTGGTAATATAGTGTGTATGCCTGCTTCTTAAATGTTCAAAAAAGTGACATAACCTCTAGTGCCCAGATGGGAATTGCTTTGCACAACCCATTTTGTAAAACCCGTTATACCTGTTATGTAGTTTGTACGATTCAGAAGGAATGCTCAACTTGCAAAACCTTGTATTTTTCATGCTTCAAATTTTTTAAGCTATCTAGGCAAAAATGCTCCTTTAAATTGGGATGGAATATGAAAGAGCATCCTATTTGAAATTATGCCTAATTATGTGTAATTAAAGGAGAACTATTAGGTTAGTAAAATATACTCTTCCCAATACTTAGAGCCAGTATGGGACACTGCAGCTATCACATGCTGACTCTAACCAAGAGCTGAGCAATCATGTAACCGCTGATCGATCAGTTTACTGTCTCTTCTCCCTGCAGAGAACAAGGACTGTCATTCACCACTCCCCACAGGAATTCTACCTCCACTCTCTGTTCCTTCAGCACTTACAGCTGCTTTTAGAGAGGCAGAGCCAGTCACCAATCAGCCAGCTGAGTTGATATGGGGTAGTAGCCCACTATATGCTGACTTTGGGTCACAGGAGTACATTAGAAAATGATTCCTGTGACTCAAAGGAGAAGTAAAGCCAAACAAGTGTTGGCTTTACTTCTCTATTTAAGTATATTTAAAGCCAATCCTTATTATAGCTTTGAGTAAAAAAAGGAAAGGCTTAAAACCCCTGTCAAGTTTTCATCACTGACTGTTTCCCATCTGCAGAAATCCCTCTCTTTATGTCCAGGTGATCATTGTCAGTTAGACACAAAGTAATGGGAAATCCAAAATGTTTCAATTGTCACAACAACAGAAGATAAAGGTAAATCTTCAACAGGGGCACCTATTCTTATCACAGTTATCTAAGAGGAGATTTCTTCTAATTTTAGAGAGATTTTTTCTCACTTACGGTTGTGTTTCCAGACAGAAATTTCCCCAGCTTGGCACAGACAGAAAGAAATCCCGACAGGGGTTTTAATGATCCCCTACTCTACAACTTTAAAGTGTGGGATATAGATATAAACATTAAAATTGTGACAAGTACTGTGACTTTCTTTCCTTTGTTTTCCCGTCTGCTGCTGCCGCCTCTAGGAATTATCCGTAGAATGGTGAGGGAGAAAAGATTGCTAGAGGAATTTTATGTTATTCTCATTAAGGTTTTACATTTATAGGTATAATTTCAGACATAGGCATGTGCCTTTTATCCTCCAAACACAACAAAAATTTAGATTAAATGAGATTTGGATGGATTTCCAATTTACTATTTCTCATCCAGTTCTGTTTTGAAAATGTCATATTTTCTTTGCAGGTTTTTGTACCATTATGAGGCACTCTTGCTACATTCTATTAAAAAAATACATGCGTCAGAAGAGATGTAGCCAGAGATGTAGCCTGCCAATGCTTTTATTACAATAATAGAATATTATTGGCATGGTCTTGAGCGCACTGACTCCTCCACAAACCCTGTGCTGGACTGAGTAGTTGTGTGCTTGTGATTGCCATAACACTATATACGTTAATTTTTATGAAGCAGCCATATTTGAGCATATTTTATTGCTCTTGGGATTTTTACCTCACACAAAAATTTAGATTTTCCTTAACTGCCTTTAACCAGTTGACATCCACGATGTTAAACTCCCTTCCCATCCAGGCCATTTTTCAGTATTCAGCGCTGCGGTACTTTGACTGACATTTATTCCGTCATGCAACGCTGTACTGAAATTAATTTTATACCCTTTTTTGGGGACAGATAGAGCTTTCTTTTGGTGGTATTTATTCACCACTGGGGTTTTATTTTTTTACTATATTAAGGAAAAATTACCGAATTTTTAAAAAAAAAACAGTTTCCCCTATATTAAATGATAAAACATTTATTATTACCCAATTTTTTGGTAAAATATAAAAGATGGGGTCACGTCGGGTAAAAAGACACCAAACATGTCAAGCCTTAAAATTGCGTGCGCGAAACCTCAAAAAACGATAATACCCAAAATTGGCCATAGGTTACTTGAGTGTGTATCCAATGGAGTCTTCTTTTTGGAAGGATTGGAAGAATTAACAATCTGTACTCACATTTCTAGAAAATTCCTAGTTTAAGCCAAATTGGAACCAAATCCAGTTCTAGGTAGCAGCAAGGTAAAACTTTTTTTAAATTTGGAGTGAGGGCGGATTAGAAGCCTTATCAGGTTTAATTGCTATCTAGAGTTCCATTACCCCTTAATGACCAGGGTGTTTACACCCCCTACCTCTCCAGGTCATTTTTCAGTATTCATCGCTGTAGTGCTTTGACTGATATTTATTCAGTCATGCACTGCTGTACTGAAATTATTTTTTTTTACAATTTTGGGGGACAGATAGAGATTTGTTTTGGCGGTATTTAATCACCACTGCGGTTTTAATTTTTTACTATTATCAGTTATTTATTTATTATCAGACATTTATTTTTACTGCTCATCAGTTATCAGTGATTGATGGGCCTAAAATTATTGCTCTCACTCTGACATTTGCAAGGAGTATGTAACATATGTGCGCAATCGTCATTTTCGCATGTAGGCGCACCCTAAGCATGGTGGGGACTTTTAAAAAAGTTTTATTTTTTTCTATTTTTATATATGTGACTAATTGTTTTGTACTTTTTTTTCACTTAACTTTATTGCTATCACATAGTGGGTAACAAGCCCCCTATGCGATAGCCAATATACAGTGACCAGTCCCCTTTATAGCATCAGGGGTCTTTCAGATCCCTAATGTCACCTAGGGTCTGCTTCACCAGCTTCTCTCCGGCTTCTGGGAATGACAGCTGAACGTGGAACTTGGAGTTGTGGGCTTCACAACTCAAAGAATTAAGCAGACTGTTTTTCTTTATCCTCTGTATATGTTCTGCACATCTGCCTTGCAGGTGCACATGAAGCTGACTACAGTTTATAGCTATTACAGTGGCATGCTAGTTGTAAGACATATGGTTGAATTCTGTTAGTCACAGGTAGAACAATTGTGCCCTCAATGTTGCATCATAATGTTGAATCAGTTGGATCAGGAATCATTTGTGGAAAGAATGGTGGCAGACATGGTTAATTGTATACTCACTTCCCTATCAGTCTGCTATTAGTAACAATTGTATATGCAGTTGCAGATGAATTTCCTTGTTTCAGCATGGGTGCCTTTTTGACAACCAAAAAGCTTACAGTGCAACTGAAGCCTTAAGTTTTTTTGGTTTTGGCTAGAGTGGAGAGGGATAAGAATGCATGCTGGGTTTTTATTGCTGTCTGTATTACCTTTCTATTTGTCCTGGTGACTGTTATCACTGAAAGGGAAAGAAAATACAAAATTGTGGGTGGTCATCAGAACAGGAATAGATGGGCGATCTTCCAATGGGAGAACTAGTCTGGTGACTGTTCACCAGAGATTTTCCTCTATTTTGAAGGATATCCTCACACTTCCTGTTGTAGATATTGGATAGGAGGTACAGAGAAATCTTCCCAATGGTAAAAAAAATACGGGGGTTATAGTGCTCCCTTACTCTATCCA